AGAAATAAACTCTCACATACTCTCTGAAACACAATGTTCAGAATGCATAATTATATAACTCCTCAGAAAAATAATTAGTTTCCCATCAAAGTATTCACCATCAGTCTCATACAAAACCCCCTTAGAGGATAAACAAATACTCAGCTCCCGTCAAAGTATTCATTATAGGTCAGATAAGATTACCTTCTCATGTAAGGTAGGACATTTGGTCTGGCATCCTTCTTCTGCATACATCTGACACCAGCTGATGACATTCATTCACAGCATAAAATATTCCAGATTAGGTCAGTGGTTTGACCTTAAACTCCACTCTGGACAACAACACCTTCTTGGATGAAGGAATAAAACACACTTTGAGATGATGTTCCAACATCAGATCCGACATCAGTCTCAAACACATGGACTTTACCAATAACTATGGTCTGGAGACACCATAGTAATCCATAACTCTTACAAGGGATACAAGAGGATCAAACATCAGTAGTTGATCAATCTTCAACACCAGATCATTCATTTCAAGAATCTTCTTCTTAAACTTTTAAAATCCAAACCTCCTGTCTAACTTTGAGATGTTAGATGCCATTCTTCTGCACATAAAGAGGAGATTCCCTCTAACAAGTATCTGGAGCAGATTTACAATAATTGCATTAATTGATCATTATACACCACAAGCAGATTGTTCAGAATAAGTCTGCTTCTTGAAAACACAAGGATTCCCTTCAATCCATGCAAAACATTTGTTCCATTATGTGAGGACACCACCTAATTGAACCTTAGCAGAGAGAGGAACTTCCCATAGATACCAGGGAACCATAATCATTTGGTCCAAAAACTAATAACTCTTCCTTGCTTCAAACGAACTGAAATTCCCATCCTAGGTGAATTAGATGATATTTCAACAGTGCATACACCAATCAGCCATAGAATTCCCGTTGACACAACTCCAATGCAGAAAATCCTTGAAAGACCTTTCCACACCAATAGAACAAGAGTTTCATGCTCTCATAGACTGATAAGAGTACCAAGTTAGAGTAAACAAAATTCATCCTATTTATGAAAAGTACCACCAGACATATTGAGAAAAATAAATTCTCAATACACAGATGTCAATACATTATGTTTGACATTTCTTCAAGTTCTTCTAGCTTAATATTAAGGACCCCCTTATTAACTACTAAAAAATCCTTGAGAATCATACAAAAGTTGCACATCCTGTGGTTAATCCATTACTTCCCTCAAACAGAATCTATTCCATGGCCATAAACAAGTTTCTATAAATCTGTCTCCTTTGATCAAAAGAATCTTCCAGATGTCTAGAGAGAATGTCCTTGACATTTGAGCTTGACCTCCACATATAAAGGATATGGAAGAGATACCTTTATCAGGAATCCACGGGAAAACAAATCACGGCCTCTTCACTTTAACTCACTTAGATCAGAAATAAACTAATCTAATGAGTGTCTAATATATTGATCGTGTCCTGACCAACATACTTATCTAAGACATATTTCTAGCAAAGAAACTTCTTAGACACAAAACACAAATGCCTCATCTTCCATATCAAGAGTAGGTTCCAAACATAAGTGGCTACAGACTCAGTCCTAATGATTACATCTTTACAATTCTCGGTTGGTACCTTTCTTTAGGTTATAATGCTTCTTTTTATAACCTATACCTAACTGGATTTGGGGCCTTTAAAACACAGCACATTCGCTGTTACAATCAACATTAACTTCTACTACAAACAAGGTCTTTAATAATTTATTTCATAAATAATCTCTATATTTAGAAAATGCATAATCTTCAACATTCTGACTTGATTTTTCTAGACCTTTAATTCAGCGCCACATAGGATTACATAATATTCCCAGAATACTCTATATCTGTTAAATCATAACAAAATCTAATTGTCCACTTCGGCCCAGGTGCAATGTCATATGCTCCTTTATAGGACATCTTATCCGACATGTTGTTCTAGATGTTGAAACACTTCAACTCAACATGTCCTAACGTAGAATATGACTTCTTGCTCAAACTTGTTCCTGTTAACAAGTTAACACATCTTATCTAACATATTGTTGCAATATTTATTTTACAAAAATTAAGGCCAATCCTTAAAAATAAGGAACTTACAAGCTTTAAGATGTGAGTAAATGCGTTGACCTGCAATATGAATATGTCGAAACACAAAATAAGAATTTCTGCAATTTCAGAAATCTTTCAGTATGTGTCGACCTGTAACTTACAAAAGCTTGTAAGCTTAAAAACTGAGTTACATGTGTTGACCTGAAAATTGAATGTGTTGACACATGCAATACAAAAACATGTAGAAACTGTTTTTCAATGTGTTAGGTCAATTTCAAAGTACTTTGTGATGATTCCTAAGACCTATAATGCAGAGGAGTGCCACAAGACATAAAGATATTTCCATTTTACTGGCATGACATCTTTCCCGATTTTGACATCACGCAAAACATCTTGTATTGAAGTTGTACTCATATGTTTGATTTTGGACATGCATCCATCTATTGAGATTTCTTACAATAACCCTTATAACAGTTGGCAAGATTCCCCTTCTACGCATGTCTATTTCATTAGACATAGTGCACACAACTTCATGCAGGAGATCAAAGACAAGTTGCTTCAAAAAAGTTGTTAATGTGGCGTATGTCTTAACAGAACCATCATTCCAGCACTACCGCAGAGAGATCAGGTTGACAAATGCGAATGTGTTAAGGTGGATCGATAATATTCCAGTGGAGAAGTGGACCTGGACATTTGACAATGGTCAACGATAGGGCCACATGACAAAAAATTAAGTGGAATTAATAAACTTTGCCTTCGAAGGCATTAGAAGCCTATTAATATTCGCATTGGTGAAAGCAACATATTTTAGATTGGGGTCATTGTTGGAAGCCAGGTGTTCAAAATGGAGGTTAGTGTTACAATTAGGGAAATTATTTAGTGAAAGCTCTATGAAATTTATTCAGAAGTAAACTGCCAAAGTTAACACACATGATGTTACAATGTTTGACTTATTAAAGGTTGGTTCAGTGTACAAGAGACAATGGACCATAATGAAGAGAGGTCAAGGGAATACTATCAGGTTAAACTAGATAGAGGTTGGTGCGATTATGGAAAGTTTCAAGCTTTTTGTGTGCCTTGCTCTCATGTTATAGTGACATGTTCACATGCTCGCCTGAACCCTATAGGACATATATCCCCCGTTTACAAAGTCAAAAACGTATTAAATGTGTACATCAATACCTTCTCGGTGGTAGCAAAGGAGGATTATTGACCTGCTTATCAAGGGGACATTGTTTGACACAATGAGAAAATGCGAAAGAAGAAAAAGGGTCGCCCTAACCGCACACGTCTTCGAACTAAAATGGATACGACAAAAAAATGATAAGATTTTGCAGTACATGCTGTCAACCCGAACACAATCAAAAAAATTGTCCGAACTTTGAGTCTACCCATGCAACATAATTTTCATATGTCAATCTTGATATGTAAATTATTTGTTGTAACTAAGAAATTTCAATTTAAATTCAAATTTCATTTCATATTCAAGACAACATTCAGGTACAACAAAATAAAGACAATCACGCATAAAATAACAACACGGTAAACAAATAAAATGATTAAACACATCATCATAACTAGGAGATTATTGCCATCAAGACAATATCAATTGGTCTAAACATTATCATAAGGACATCGTTGTTGGTTTTAATAGGTTTTCAAGAACGAGTTTCTCCATTTTGGTTGGACACCGTAACAAGCCTATCAAGCTCCTCTAAAAATGCTCGAAGGTCTCCGTATTTTAAAGTTGGATCTTCATCAGATGTTTTGTTGGCGAAAAAATTAAACATTTCTTTTGGTAATTGGAAATATTGGAAGCATTATAGAAGACATATTTAAAAGTGATATGAGAAGATGTGTGATAAATAGTGGAGATGGATCGGTGTATTTATAAAAAACCAAAACAAAATGTATGCATGGCACGTGTACCTAATATCATAGTGCATGCCCCACATTACATGATAAGAGAGAGGTGCATATCTTTTTTAATTACAATGTAGTGTCTCCGTGACGATTTTTTTTATTTAAAAAAATGATTACTTTAATATTATTTTTTCTGAAAGTATAGTTATTTAGGAATTTTATTTTTTTTTAAAATTGATTATTTGAAAAAAAAATTCTCAAAATGAAACTTAAAAAATTGAAGGATTAGATTATAACATTTATTTATAATTTAAAGGATGAAAGTAAAAGTGTAAAACTAAAAAGTTTATGGCTCTCCCATATCATTTTTTGAAACCACTTCACGAGACATCATAGCTCATTCTTTTGGCTTAAGCTTTTTACAATTTCAACACCATATTTATAGAATTACAATATTCCAAAACCATTTTAATCAGTAGTCAGACTTTTAACAACCAAGTTCTTTATGCCTCCAACAAAAAAGAACAAAGCTCTCTGTTTTTACTCCAACAAAATAATAATCTATAGTTAATTTACTAACAAATCATAATCAACCTTCACCCTTTTAACCAAAGCCTTAATTATCATTAAAGAAGAGCAACGATGGTTAAACAAAATACAAATATCATAATAAAAGCATGAAAATTACTACACTGTCTATAACTTCTTCTAGCCAATGAATGTTAGAATTTTATCTTGCCTTCTTAGCATAGCAAAAAAGTGGCAAAACAGAAAAATACCGTTTTTGTGTCACTTTCTTAATAGAATAAAAAATAGCATATAACTCCAAAAAAACAACTATACTCAATCGACAAATTCAATACGGTCCTATCCAATTTTGATCCTCAACTTACTCAAAACGTTATGTTTTATTTTTTTTCTTAACCATTTGCTTATATCATCAAGTCACATTAATTTTTTTTTCACCATTATATAAGACACACCACCTTGAACACACTTTTACTCATCCTCTTCCACTTCCACCACTTCATCTTCCATTTTCTTTTGGCTCAATGGAGAGTTCAAGAATCATGCAATGGTTAAACATTCTTCTATGTGCACTGCTATTGTTACTAAAGACACAAGGACAGTTTGTTCCACTAACTCGGCTCGATAGCGCGGTATCAAAAGGAGCTGGTGAGGACTTTTGTTTGTATTTTTCGGTAATATGTTATATGATAGTAGGGAGTTGAAGTGTTTGATATCTTCTGCAGTGTGTTTGGATGGAAGCCCCCCAGCTTATCATTTTCAGGAAGGACATGAAGAAGGAGTTAACAACTGGATTGTTCACATTGAGGTCTCTTTTACAAAACTCTAATTACATTTTACGTTACATTTTTAATATTTTCTCTCTGGTTAAATACATACGAATCGAAGCGACAATAACTGAATTTGAGTGGTTATGGCATTTATTTTTATGGCGCTGTTTAACGTATTAACTCTAGGTTAATATACTGTTGTATGATTTTCGCTATGATTTAATATAGGGAGGTGGATGGTGCCACAATGTCACATATTGTCTTTACCGAAAGGACAGTCGGTTAGGTTCCTCGCATGAAATGGAAGAGCAAACTTATTTTTCTGGATATTTAAGTAACAACCATCAATATAACCCTGGTAATGTTTAATTTCAACAATATAATAGAATAAAAAAATTTATTTTATTTTAGCAGAAATTTTATGTAGCTTCTCAACAAATTTTAATAAAATTGCAGATTTCTACAATTGGAATAGAGTCAAAGTTAGGTACTGTGATGGATCATCATTTACCGGTGATGTTGAAGAAGTTGATCCAGTGAGTTTTACAAAATACAAGAATAAAATATTTATTTATTTCTTTGAATATTTCTCCGTTGTGATGTGATTCTTATACTATGTTATATAAATAAATCAGGATACAAATTTATACTTCAGAGGATCAAGGATTTTTTCTGCTGTAATGGAAGAGTTACTAGCAAAAGGAATGGCTCATGCTGATAAAGTACAAGATATTAATTATTTACTAGCATTTTTCTCTTCCTTTTTGTTTTAAGAGAGTTGGCTTTGTCGTCCAAAAGGGTAGCGACAAAGTTTGTTGCTTGTTTGCCTGCTATTTCTATACAGTTTTGATTATATGTATAAATATATCAATTCACTGATTAAAATTTTTAACTCTAGGCTATTCTTTCTGGATGTTCTGCTGGAGGATTAACCGCTATATTACACTGTGATCGATTTAAATCAATGTTACCTGATGGAACTAAAGTGAAATGTGTCTCAGATGCTGGCTATTTTGTTAATGTGTATGATCCTTTAATTTTTCTTCATATATCTAAAATTAAAATTCAGTAGATTATGGTATGATTTATGATTTTGTTGTTGTATAACAGAAAAGATATCTCTGGAGATTATTACATTGAAGATTATTTCGGTCAAGTCGTTGAAACACATGTACTAGTCCTTTCTCTCTGATTATAACTTGGAACAAAATTACAGTGTCATCGGGGTTTTGTCAAATTAAATGTGATTCCGAATGTCCGGAGAGACTAATTTGTTTTTCTTTTTATTATCTTAGGGTTCGAAAAAGAGTTTGCCTCAATCTTGCACTTCAAGACTCACTCCAAGACTGGTAAGTTTGGCTTGTAATTTTATCTTGTGGCTTTGCAACTTCAGCGGAGAGTTTTTTATTTTTATGAATCGATATGCAGTGTTTTTTCCCACAATATGTGGCATCAAATATCCGCACACCGATCTTCATTGTAAATGCAGCATATGACTCATGGCAGGTTAGATTTGATATATTGGCTAGTAAAATAATTATCGTTTGAGACAAAACTAGTATCAGTGTCAGTATCAGTATCGTGTTTGTTTGATGCATGTGTCAACATATCAGTGTGACATTTCTTATGAATCAGATTAAGAATATTTTGGCGCCTGGTGCTGCTGATCCGAACGGCCAATGGGGTAGCTGCAAAACTAATCTAAACAACTGCTCACCTGAACAACTAAATATAATGCAAGGTTTACATTTTCTGATCAAATTACGCGTGTCTTGAAAATATTTGTCAATACTTAAAGACCTACCATTTGTTTACTGCAAGAGTTTTGTATTGTTTTCTAACTTTACTTTGATGCATGAATTTATTTTCAGACTATAGGTCACAATTCTTAAAGGCATTGAGTCCTATAACCATCTCGCCATCTAATGGAGTATTCATAGACTCTTGCTATGTCCACTGCCAAACAGAACCACAGGAAACATGGTTTACAAATGACTCTCCAATGGTTGGCAATAAAGTATGAGACATACTCTTTCATGACTGTAGAGTATACACATCCTTTACGAGTGTTTCGGTATGGCATTGAAAAGATAATTTATTTGTTTGGTTGATTGATGGTTTGCAGACAGTTGCAATGGCAGTAGGAGACTGGTTTTATGAAAGAAGTCCTTCACGTGAGATAGATTGCATTTACCCTTGCAACCCCACTTGTCAGAACCAGAACCATGTTTTTGATGCACAAGCAAACCCAGGAATACACTAGGTTATATATATATTCATCTAACTATTAAATATTTATCATTCCTATGTATAATTAAACTTAAATATTATTGAATGTAAAACTTAAGCAAGCAAAATAAGAGAGAACGCGCCATTGGATTCAGTCTCTATGCTATAGGCGCACTCTAAATCATTAATGTAACAATTACTATATACTCTTGTGGAAATGTAAGTAAATTAATGCCATCACTAATTGATGTGTCTACTTTTCTAATGTAGTTTGTTACTATACACAAGTTTAAATAATTATAATTGAAAGTAGATGAAATAATTCACTATAGCCCTAGCTTGCAAATCATTATTATCCATTTTTATCAACAAACAAATATAATATATATAATTAAAAAAACATTAATAAGGCCTGCCAAAGTATGGAGAACGGTATAATTAGTGTTAGAAAATTAACTTTAATCAAATGATTCGAGGCTAAATCGTGAACGAAATTATTTTTCTTATAAGTATTTCAAGCACTCGCAATATCTCGCTTAGCACTTATTTATGATCCTATGCTATCCTGTTTAAGGGTTCTTCCTCTACATATCTCGATTAGCACTTATTTATGGCCCTATGCTATCATGTTTCATGAATTTTTCATGAGAGAAACTCCAATTCTCACTTTGAGACGACACCATCTCGAAATTCACATAGGTGAAGTTCATATTGTGTCCTTTTCCATGAGACACATACCATCGGTATTGATCTTCATTAAGAGTTTAAAATAAAACTCAACCCTCATTTTAAGGTCAACATTATCACGAAATGTTCGACAATTATCCAAATCAATAATTTTCTCTTACCCATTGAATCTTGAGGTTAACGTTCTGTTAACGTAAGATTGAGTTATCGCCGTTGTCGGAACTCTTATTCAAAGAGTTTCAACCTCATACTTCTCGAGATTGTTTTTACTAAGTCTCTGACCAGTGACTTGGTAAATGAATTTCCCAAATTATAGATCGATCGTATATATGTGAATGAAATGATTACATCTTTAATCAATTTTCTCACGAAAGAATGTTCAAGGCTTCAGTGCCTAAACTTTCCATTATACACTTTGCTGAATGCACTAACTAAATTGGTTTGATTATCACAATGTATCAACACTTTTGAAATATTGTCTTTTGCCAATAGAACTTCCAACAGAAGGTCCATCAACGGTTCATCTTCTTGACCAACGAAAATGAGCGCCATAAACTTTGATTCCATGGTTGAAAAAGTGATGCATGTTCGTTTCTTGCTCTTCCAAGAAATTACACCTCTTCCAAGAAATTACTAGTAAATCTACTCATTTACTAACTGCAAATACTATGTCAGGTTCAGTACATCACATTAGAGAATCAATTGCACTTGTGTATTCTAATATATTCATAACTCTTCCATCGTTATTTTGACATTAACATCAAATTGAATATTCACTTTCTTGAAACGTGACAATTTAAACTTATCAAGAACTTTCCCAACAACGTGTGCTTGACTAAGTTCATAATTTCCACTATTTCGTATTACTTTGATCTCCAAATAATGTCAACTAGTCCATGATATTCCATCTTGAATGTGGAAGTTTTCTCAATAAAGTGTTTTGTACTATGTTTTTAACTCCCACTTTTTCGATTTACTTTGATCGAAAAAAGGTGTCCACTATTTCAAGATCTTTGCATCTTGAATGTGGAATCTAGAAACCTCTTTGTTTCTAAGATTCCATTCATCTCGTTGCTAATGATCAATATATAATACACATAGAGACAAAGAGATATCACAATATTCTCACGCAACTTTATGTACAAACACTTGTCACAAGAATTAGATGAAGAAGGTTTTTAGATGATCATGTATGATGATGCAAGAAGGTTTTTAGATGAAGTGAGAGATGAAATTATGAGCAATTTGAAATAGTATAATATGATTTGTAATGAGTACCTTAGTTATGTTTACTTCTCTCAAATCTTCACTTGAATTTCTATGCTAAACCTTCTTGATCAACTTCATCGTTGGTATACGTGATACTTTTGATCTTTTATTTCTTTGATAAATTTTTGTCTTCATTAAAACTAGATATATATTCTTCACAATCTCCCCTTTTGGATGATGACAAACTCTTTGAGTTCGTGTTTTGGTAAGATTGAAAAGTCTCCCATAAGTTGTGTGTCTCCTCATCATTGGTGAATCTTGCAATGATATAGTCAAATTTTTTATGTCATTGTTTCAGTGCATATTTTAATTTATGCAAGAATTTTACAAGCTTGCACATTATTTGTTCATTACCATAAAGCATACAACTTTATGGTTTCGCCATGTAAATCTCCTCATCGAGATCTCCATTTAGTAATGTTGTTTTGACATCCTTTTGATGAACTATAAGGTCATGCAAGAAAGGTAAAGCAAGTGAAACTCTAACTTTCGTTGTGCTTCCTTCTAGTGCATATGTGTCAAGATAATCAACATTTTCCTTTTGTCTAAAATCCTTGGTTACTAATCTATCATTTTAGTTATTTAGTGCACCATCACTATTATACTTCCTTCTAAATATTCACTTGTATTCAATGGGTCTTGATCCTTTAGGTAGATCAACAAGTTCCTAAGTATGATTTGACATTATTGAATCCATTTTGTCTTGGATAAAGTCAATCCAAAAGAAAGAGTCCCTTAAAGATACTACTGTTAATCAGGAAATAATCAAACACATTTATTGTGAATAATTTACATTCATAGAATAGGAAATTGTCATTATAAGTTGTAATTAGTTATTATGAGTTGTAATTAGTCATTATGAGTTATAATTACCGACACTATTATATATAGTATCAAATGCAATGAGAAAGGCATCAAGCCAGAATTCATGACATGGTATCATAAAGGTTCGATCTAACCTGTGAATCCTTGTTCTCTTGGCTGAATAGCGACACCCCACTGGGTCGCTCTTGAAATCGTGTTTCTTGTTTGTATTTCTCGAAATCTGAAATCTTTCAATTGTCGTTTCGTGATTTCTTCATTGTTGTTGCTTCGTGATCTTGATTCCGTGACTATCGGCCTTGGGAATTCAGGGTAAGTCTTCTAATGTTTCTCGCCCATGGTTTCTTGATTCGGGTGCATCCAATCACATGACAGGTTCTTCAGAGTATTTGAACAATTTACACTCTTATCATGGTAATCAGAAAATTCAAATAGCTGATGGTAATACTTTATCTATTTCGGATATTGGCGACATCAACTCTGATTTTAGGGACGTGCTTGTATCACCTGGACTTGCATCTAATTTATTATCTGTTGGTCAATTGATAGATAAAAATTATGATGTTAACTTTTATCGTGATGGTTGTCTTGTGCAGGAACAGGTGTCGGGGAGAGTGATCGCGAAGGGGCCTAAAGTGGGAAGACTGTTTCCACTCCAGTTTATTTCTAATCATATATCTCTTGCTTGTAATAATGTTTTGAACTCTTATGAGGATTGGCATATAAAATTAGGTCATCCAAACTCTGTTGTTTTGTCCCATTTATTTAAAAATGGTTTGTTGGGAAATAAAAATGTTTCTAATGCCTCTATTTCATGTTCTGTTTGCAAATTAGCTAAGAGTAAAACACTTCCTTTTCCATCTGGTGCTTATCGTGCTTCCACTTGTTTTGAAATGATTCATAGTGATGTATGGGGTATATCTCCTGTAGTATTTCATTCTCACTATAAATATTTTGTCACATTTATTGATGATTATAGTCGTTTTGTTTGGATATATTTCCTTCGGTCTAAATCTGAAGTGTTTTCTGTGTTTAAGAAATTTTTAACATATGTTAAAACTCAATTTCAAGCAAGTGTTAAAAATTTCCGCTCTGACTCTGGTGGTGAGTACATGTCTCATAAGTTTCAGGAATACCTTCAACAAAAAGGCATCTTGTCGCAACGATCTTGTCCCAATACCCCTCAACAAAATGGTATTGCAGAACGGAAGAATCGTCATTTGCTTGATGTAACACGCACATTACTTCTCCAAGCTTCAGTACCATCCCGATTTTGGGTAGAAGCTCTTTCCACAGCTGTCTTCTTGATCAATCGTCTTCCTTCTACGGTTATTGAACTTGATTCTCCTTTCTTTCGTCTTTTTAAAATTCATCCTGATTATAATGCTTTACATACTTTTGGGTGTGTGTGTTTTGTTCACTTACCTCTTTTTGAAAGGTATAAGCTTGGAGCACAATCAGTTCAATGTGCATTTATGGGATATAGTCACTCTCATAAGGGATTTGTGTGTTATGATGTCACTAACTATCGTTTTCGCATTTCTAGAAATGTGACATTTTTTGATAATCAGTTTATGTTTCCCTGTGTTTCTCCTGCCATTAATGATATTGTTACTCTTCCTAAGTTTTCTATTATGCCTCAATCTATAGAACGTTATAAACCAGGTCATGTATATGTCAGAAAACACAGACAGCAAGTTCCCACACCCCTTCCCGACGCTGAACCGCCACCTGATCCTGTACCGGTTGAACCACGGCGTTCTGGTCGAATATCTCGTGCACCAGATAGATATTCACCAGATAGGTATGATTCCTCACATACTTCTCTGACTGCCACACTCTCTAGCATATCTATTCCTACTTGTTACTCACAGGCTGTTAAGGATGTGCGATGGATAAAAGTAATGAATGAAGAGCTTCAAGCTCTTCAAGAGAATTTCACATGGGATATTGTCTCTTTCCCTCCCGATGTAAAACCTATAGGTTGCAAATGGGTGTATTCTGTGAAATTAAATTCTGATGGGTCCCTCAACCGTTACAAGGCTCGTTTGGTTGCGTTAGGAAACAAGCAGGAATATGGAATTGATTATGATGAGACATTTGCACCAGTTGCCAAAATGACAACTGTCCGCACGATCATCTCTATAGCTGCTTCTAGTGGTTGGACTCTTCATCAAATGGATGTGAAGAATGCTTTTCTTCATGGTGACCTAAGAGAAGATATTTATATGACTTCACCTCAAGGCTTATTCTCGT